TGTAGAGAAACCAAGAAGAGGAAAAGTTAATGTATTGAATGTGCGATTGAGAAGTTAATTGTATTAAAAGTATTATTACTTTAAAAAAAGAACTCATTTATAGACATATGAAGGTTTTAAATTCATTATTATGGAAATAAGTAACCTTTTCATTTGTGTGTATGCTATGTGTGTGCAGGTGCACACACTCATGCATATGTGTGTGGAAGTGAGGGGTCAATATTAACTGTCTTCCTCTATCATCCTCCATGTTACATTTGAGACAAGTAGTCTTATTGAATGCAGTATTTACCAGTTGGCTAGATCAGCCAGCCAATCAACCCCCTTGGATCCTCCAGTTTAGGACTTCCAGTACTGGGGTTACAGGGATTGCTGGGCCTGGCTTTTTATGGGTGCTGCAACCTGAACTCAGGTCCTCTTGTTTGAAGGGCAAGCATTCTACCCACTGAACCACCTTCCCAGCACCACTTTCTTCCTAAATGGGAGACATATTTGCGTGAAAGTATGTCAAAGAAGATATAGAAATTCAAAGCTCATTACAAGAAGCTGGATATCATTAGTCCTTAGGAAAATGCAAAAGACATTAACTGGCACCAATCTACCATCTTCAGGGCTGACCATGATGTGAATGGTTGAGAGCGTTCACGGACATGTGATAACAATGTGAAATGTCACAAAATGAAAATGCCTCAAAAGCCATTTGTAAATTTCTTATGATATTAGATATACAGGTATCATAAAGCCTGGCCATTCCACTCCTGGACATTTCCCTACAGCGAGTGAATGCCAGTATCCCTGCAAACACTTGAGTAGCAATGTTTGTATTACCTGTTAGCTAGAAAAATATCTATTAGCAGAAAAATATGAATGGACAAATAGTGAAAGTTTATATAATAGACCCTACTTGTGTCGCGGGAGGTCCTTCCACTCCTCCAACCAATAGCTGCTGAGATACCAGCCCATTGGGGGCGTGGTCTCTCTCCCTTTAAAAAAGTGGCTACTTCCCTCTGCTTGCTCTCTCTTCACTTCCTGCTCCACCGGCGACTAGACTGCCTTCCTGGTTGCGCAGAGGGCTGTTGTCTGGGACGGTGATCTGTAAGTTTTTTTCCTCTTTAAATAAATACCACCCTATTAATCATAATTCCAAACTGGCATGGCATTGTTTGTGACTTATGCCTTCATACTTGATAGTAAGAGGGAATGTCCTGATGGACAGGGGAATAGTGGGTGCAGGTGAACGGGGAGGGGACAATTGTAGATGGGGAGTGAATGGGACTGAATGGGGGGGGGGGATGGGGTAGATGGAGGAACAGATGGGAAAGTGGATTAGAGGAGTGAGTGAAAGTGAATAGGAGGGGGCCTGGCAACAGTGGTTGGATGGGAAGTTGGTAGCGTGTAGGTGAGGATGTACAGTAAGTTGTGGGTGTAGATAAGATGGGTGAGAAGTGATAAGGGGGTAAGTGGGGTCAGCTAGCAGTTGGAAGGGGTAGGTGGAGGTGTGTGAGCATGGATATGGTAATGCATAGGGCTGGATGGAGGTGGATGAAGGTATATAAGGGAGCAGATGGGAGGTAGATGAGGAATAGTTGCTTCTGGATAGTGAATGAATGGGGTGAGTGGAAGTTGGATGGATGGTGGATATCAATGAATGGTGATAGGTATGAATGGAGGCACATGGGGAATGGATAAGGGCACATGAAGGTAGATAAGATGTGGATTATGGGCAGTTCAGGTGGATACATGATTGGGGGAGCTGGACAGAGTATAGATGAAGTTTTAAAAGGGTGGATGCAGGTGCATGGTGGGTGGATGTGGGTTTGCTGAGGCACAGTTCTATGGGGCAAATAGGATATCAGGTTGTGTAGATGGCGGATAAACAGTGGAGCAGTGTGTGTGGAAGAGAGGGTAGATGGTGGGTGGAAGGGTACTGAGGGAAAAACAAGACAGGTGAGGGGGTGAATAGTGATGGATAGTGAAAGAAAAATGATGTGTGTGTGTGTGTGTGTGTGTGTGTGTGTGTGTGTGTGTATGCAGGGAATGTGGGTCAGAGTTGGGATGTGTGGAGGGCCAGTAGATGAAGAGGGTGGAAGCAAGTGGATGACAGGTGACCAATCTAGGAGATGTGCGGTGCGGTCATGAAGGGAGGTATTGAAGAGTGTGATGGAGAGAGAGTATGGAGGGATGTGAGCTGGAGGATAGGGCATGGGGAAGAGGCTGGTGTTAGATTCATAGTGGAGCAGTATAAGCATAGGGGTTATGGAGGAGCAGTACATGAGGTAGGTGGAGGAAGTGGTGGATGGGAGGTTAGAGGGATTGTGGATATGGGATATGGATCGAGGTGAAAGGTTTGTGAAGGAGACTGATGGGATATGAAGTAAGTGGAAGGGAATGGGCAGGGAGCGTAGGGAAGGCAGTGGATAGCAGTTTGATGGCTGGGGCGATTTGTTGGCAGAAGTGATAGGGTATGGAAGTGGAGTAGAAGGGAATGTAGGATGTATTAGAAAGTAGTAGGTGTAGATAATAGGTGGAAGGTGAAGGGGGCTTTGGAGCAGAAGGGAACTCGGTTGTCAAGGGTGACTGACAGGAAGGTGATAGGAATGGTGTGGGTGGGAGATAATGACAGTATGTGGATGTGTGTGCTTGAGGAGGTAAGGTGGAAAAAGGAGCTGGGTGGTGGTGATGCACGCCTTTAATCCCAGCACTCAGGAGGCAGAGGCAGGCGGATGTCTGTGAGTTCCAGGCTAGACTGGTCTTACAAGAGCTAGTTCCAGCTGTTGATATAGTACTCTGAGCTGATAATAACAATCACTTCTTTGACCACTTAAATAGGTGATCATATATTTATATGATCATTAAATAGGTGATATAATTTTTTTTGATGTTTCAAAACTTCTCATCTTTCTTTTTATTTTTTTAATTTATTTATTTATTAAAGATTTCTGCCTCCTCCCTGCCACTGCCTCCCATTTCCCCCCCCCGATCAAGACCCTCTCCCCAGCTAAATTACTGTATTTAAAAACATTTAGCTTGCATGTGTGACTAATTAGTGATTTTATGTAATAGTTGAATAAAATTTCCTGATGATTTAGCTGTGAAATGTCACCACACATTGAATTTTTGCAGCACAAAATAACATCCTGCCTACGTTCATGAAGTTATACTCAGCTTATTTTTCTGCATGACATCTGATCAAATAAACCTAAACCAAATAGGTGCAATAAAATCAAGCTATTAAATAGCATTTATTGCATTATTGGAAAAATGGTATCTGTATTAAAACATTTTTGTTCATGTAGAAATCATCAATTCAAATGTGTTCAAAAGATAGATGATTATTTTCAAGTATCAACAATAAACTCATGGTATCATTCCTACTTTCATGTATTTTTACAGTATTCAAAAAGAATCTACATAACTTACTTAGCATCATTTTGACATTACTGTATGTATAAACATCATAATAAATATTAAATTCTTATGTTAATAAAAAAAGAGCTAGTTCCAGGACAGGCTCCAAAGCTACAGAGAAATGGTGTCTCAAAAAAGCGGGGAGGAGGGGGAGTGGAAGGGCGGTGGGGGTGGTAGGGGTGTGAAGGAAGTGCTGTGTAAGGAGATGTCATGGAAGGTGGTATAGAAAAAAGTAGCAGGGGCATATAGAGGGAACATGGATGGGAATGTGTGAGGAGGGAGGAGGGTCACAGAGAGAGGAGGAGCTGTAGGAATGGGGGATAGAGGGAATGAGGTTGTGAATGGATAGAGGGGATGCAAAGGTGGGAAAGGGAGGAAGAGGGAAGGTAGGGAGAAGGCAAGAAGGGAGGGACAGGGAGGGAAAAGAAGATGGGGGAAATATGGAGGGGATAAATATAGAGAAGAGTCAGGGATGGATGGAGAACTGGGAGGAGAAGTAAAGGAAGGAAAAGGCAGAGAGAAAAGAAAGGTAGAAGAGGAGAAGAGGGAAGAAAAAGAGAGGGAGGAAGGAAGAAAACAGTCATTGGAAGACATGGAAGGCAGACCCCGCTGAGCACAAGAACAACCTGCGCTGTTGACAAAGATAGGGCATAGCTCCCCTAACCATACAATATAGCGAAGGGAAGATTCCTCAGAGTTCAGTGGTATTGAGTTAACCAGTGGGGGAATTTAGTGATGTAAACTCTTTAAACATCTACTATCAAAGCAAATATATTAAAGCATAATTCTATGAGAATTTGTACAACTGAAATATAAATGATCATATAATAAAGCTTCATTACAAAGGGGGCATCTGTACTTAAATGAGTAAATTGTATTGTATTGTATTGCAGTGTACTCTATTGTATTGAACCTCAGCAATAGATTTTTAAATTGACACGGCAGGATTATGTTATTGAATTCTAAGCCAGTAGGCTCTAATGCTAAATACAGATCCAGTGAAAGACTGGGAGGTGAGAGGAGCCCCCAGAAAAGAATTGCATACTAGACTCTGTGGTAGGTAGCTTTTTCATGATACTGGGAGAAGATATTGTTCAAACCTTTAGCTTAATGCCTAACCTGGGTTTTACCTGGGTAATCCTAAGGTTTCTGTGTTTATCTGTACTTTGGAATATTTTGTTCTTAAATTATATTTTTCCAGGCTCAAGGGGCACAGACTCCTGACTCCTGCTTAGATGCAGTCCTCAGCTTTCACCTTCTTCAGCTGATGCTGGAAGAAAAAAATAATAAAAACACACCTAGCCTGATCCTAATTACAGAAGGCTTCTAACAGAAACATATGTTACGGTTAAAAAAAAAAAAAAAAAAAAAAGAATCCACTCTCACCGCACCTATTCTAAGCAGAACATGGACACAGGGTGGTAATGCTCCAACCCTTATGAAATTACAACAAAACGCTATTGTGTCGTCTGGATTGGGTACCTGGCACCTGTTCGCACTCCATATATGAAACACAACACCCACAACGTGAGACTTACGTAAAATAACCGCTGGGAATTTTCTTGTCTCTCTTTCTCTCTCTATGTACCCAGGGTCTCCTGGTCTACGAACCTGAATGTAGCGGTTGTCTTTCTGGGAATTGCATGCATCCAGCACTCTGGGGCTGGGGCCGTTGTGGTTCTGCTTCCTTCTCTGTCTGTGTTCATGGCCCTGGTAGCTCTGTACATGAGGCACTATGACCTGATCCATCAACCAGAGAAACGTAAGTCACACCTTAGGTTTGGTGGCAAGAGGGTCGGGGTTTCTTACCTCCTCCTTAAACTGACTATGAAACCTGGTCTACAACAGCTAGTTCCAGGACAGGCTCCAAAAACCACAGAGAAGCCCTTTCTCGAGAAACAAAAACAAACAAACAAACAAAAATAAACAACAACAAAAAAAATAAACGGACTATGACGTTTCTGAACTCATAGAACTGCAGGTTTCCACAGCCAGAGGATGTCCCATGTCTCTGCCTTTAGCCCCCACCATCACCCCCATGCAAAACCAGCTCAAGCTCTGACATTCACAGTTTCTCTGTCCCTCTCTGGCAGTCACAAAGCACAATTGTTCTAGAACCTCATTCATCTATGTCACCCACAAACATTTACATGCATAATACACATGCACAGTATTACATACATAATACGCATTATACACTGTGTGAATGCTTATGTTAACTACTTTTAAAAAACCAAACCTGTTCTCCGTGTCATCATTGTTCACCAGTAGAGACAGGTGATGGTAGAGATAAAGTGAATTGCTTCATCTTAATTTAAATTTGTTTGTTTTTCTGTGACAAGATCTCATTATGTACAGCAGTTTGGCCTTGAACTCTCCATGTATTCTACACTGGTTTTAAACTCAGGATATTCATGCACCCATCTCCTGAGATCTAGAACTACAGGCATATGTCACTATGCCTGAATCCTAAATTAATTTATTTTAAAATATCTTTTTTTTTCATATTGAGAATAAGAAAAAAAAAGTTTCCGCCTCCTCCCAGCCTCCCATTTCCCTCCCCCTCCCCCACTCTTCTCCCCCNTAAACCATGCAAATTTTAAAGATGAATTTGAATATCAGGTTTTAAGAGCTGGTGAAGAAAAATGCATCTTCGTGACAAAGATTTAACGGCTCCAAATCTCATAACCTTCAAAACCTGCATGAAAATCTGTTGGTGGAGCATGGCTGTGAGAGCAAAGAAAATCAACGCAGCCAGCTCACTGGATATGTTTTAAATAACCGAGCTAGCAGGTGAAAGTCCTGGGATCGTAACAAAGAAAGAACTCGAGGTTATGTAACATATATTGAGGAACTGCCTTGCTATGGTGATATTAAACTAGTACCTAAAGCCTGGGAGACAGAGCTCCTGTTTGGCTTTGATAACCCTTTTGTGGGTGACCTTGAGTAATCTTCTTATCCAGTTTCCACATTTTTTTTTGTTAACTGTGTGGTCTGCTCAAGGATGTCATCGAAATAATTAACTCAGAAAATACAACAGAAATTTATTTTCTTGCAAATAAATCGGGGCGTGTATACATCTGTGGTCACATGTGTTTATTGTGTGCAAGTTCACAAGTGTGTTCTCATTCTTCTTATATTCAAAGTAAACAGGGCCAGTTTAATGTTAATCCATGCCTTGTAAAGTAGCCAAAAATTATCCAAGGAGGGCATAACCTCAATATTTTTAAAATTATATGTGTATACTTAATTTTTTAATGGCAGCATCTAAGTGCAGTTGCCCTAAGAGACCAGAAGAGGGCATCAAATATCAGATCGCCTTGGAGCTAGAGTTAGGGGCAGTTGTGAACCACCTTATGGAGGCTGGGGACAGAACTCTGAGTCTCTACAAAAGCAGCAAGTGCTCTTATTCACTAAACCATCTCTCAGCTTCTAAATTTACTTTTAATAAATACCTAAAAACATAAAACAAGCATATTGTTGAGGTATCGTGTGATGTTTTAATACATATATATTGTCTGTAATGTTTAAATTATGCTAAACACGTATCATTTCATTATGGTAAAACACTCAAAGTATTTTTCTACCTTTTTTAAATTTTAAATACATGGACTTTAACTGGACTAGTGGTACATACTTGCAATTTTGTCATTTGGAAGGTATAAGCAGAATCAAGGGTTTGAGGCCAGGCTCACCTCAACCACATAAGCATGTCTGAGGCCAGACTGAGGTACATGAAACCTTGTCACAAAAAAAAAAAAAAAAAACATAAATAAAACACACAGAAAACTGCTGTTATCTATAGTCACCCTGCTTTACAATCGCACACCAGAACTTCCAGACTGTATCTAACTGTAAGGCAGCACCCATGAACCAGTTTTCCTGCCTTCCCTCTATTAATCAGATTCTTCAATTAAGAAATATAATGTCTTTGTAGGCAGAGGCTGCTTGTCTCTTTCCAAACTGCTCAGATTCAATATAATCACACAGAAACTATATTAATTGCAATATTGTTTGGTTAATCACTTAGGCATAATTATAACTGGCCCTTACATCTTAAATAAACCCATTTCTATTATTTTATACTTTACCACAAGGCTTGTGGTTTACCAGTATCAGCACATGGGCCTCTTTCTCCTCCAGCAGATACATGGCATCTCTTTGACTCCACCTACTCTTACCTCCTCTATCTGTTTGGAATTCCTGCCTTGCCTATTCTGCACTGTGATAAGCCCAAAGCAGCTTCTTAATTAACACAGGGGAATCCCACATCACTTCCCATTTTCTGTCTAAATAAAAAGGCAAGTTTTAACTTTAACATAGCAAGATTACATACAACAAAAGTTATCAGGCAAAAATTATAGTTATAATATTTATATCTACTTTATCTTTTATCATAACTAAGAAAAACTATAATTATAACTATCTATTCTTCAACTCCACCAAAGACCCCAGTAGGATATAATATTACCTAAGTTAACAGGCAACTTCCAAAACTCTAGAATCTCACTACCTGGACAGTCACCCAAAGTTCTTCTGTAATGTTGCAGCATCCATCTTTAGCCTACAGGCCCATAGTATCTTGTTGAAATTGGGGCGGCGGGGCTGCGTCTCCAGCACCCCAGCCGCCTGCTAGCTTATGCCCGAAATAACAATACACAAACTTTATTCATTTAAAGACTGCTTGGCCCATTTCTATCTAGCTTCTTCTAGGCTAATTCTCACATATTAATTTAGCCCATTTCTAAGCATCTGTGTAAGCACCCCAAGATGTGCTTACCGGGAAGATTCTAGCCTACGTCCATCCTGAGTCAGAGGAGCTTCATTGCGTGCATCTGCCCGGGAGAGCAAAACAGGGCCTCTGCTCCAGAGAGCAGAGCTGTCAAGTCTGAGCTCACTTCCACTTCCTCCCAGCATCCTATTCTGTTTACTCCTCCCACCTATGTTTTAACCTATCAGGGTTGAGGAGTTTCTTTATTGCTTAACCAATGAAATCAACAGATTGATATATGACACTCCCACATCAGTATCTGGCAGACATTTCCATGAAGAAAGAAATTTCAAAGACAGCTCTGCCTACATTGGCAGCTTGTCAGTCACTTTCTTCTGTCCTGCAGAATATCTGGCAGACTTTTTCATGAAAAAGGAACCCCAAAGGACTATTTCACCTTCTTTAGGCAACGTTAGCAGGCAGGTTTCTGTGGGTTTTGCATGTCCAGTTTATACAGCATACCATCAAGCAGTCCAGGCAATAGCATTTTCTTGCCCAAATGGCTAACCAACTCCATAAGGGGCCTCTTTGATGCCCATCATCCTCTTGAAGTAGATAGGTGCTCCAGGACCAGATGTGTCTTACTGTCATGAAAGTCCTAATTTTTTTTAAAAAAATTTAAATGCCATATTCTGTCAGTCTTTGAAAGGTTTGAAGAATAACTATCCATCTAGAATATATCTCTGTACATCTAGAAAACCTAACTAACATGAGTACAAGCTTGAGTATTATAGATGACTATCTTTTCATCTGTATTTCTAATTATTTATTATATTTTTAAATGAGCAGCACAAATACAATACCTTAATCAAGAGTAGAAATATATGCATAACAAAACTGACCTTAAATTTGTATCAATAAACCAAGATCCATACATATCTCCCTTTAAATGTAAATTTAAACATTCAAAAACAGTATTTAGGAATTTGGGCATAGATATCTCCGAAATTCTTCCTGCTTTTTGTTGGGCAAAGTAATTTTAGATGTTAATGGCAACCTTTTTGGGGGTCTTGGTCCATCAAACCACATTAGTCTTGAAAGAATCCACAGGTTCTCATCCTTTGTGGAAGGAAAAGCAGAACCTTTTTTTACAAAGCAACATATCCTTAGACCCAAATTTTGAAATCAAGATACCTTTAAAATATATATGTTGGTTTGCAGCCCCCAGAATCAAATATCTCTCTCTAGTGGAAAAATTTAAAGAAAACACAATAATATACATAATCCAGACTCTCTGTGTATATCTCATTTTTACATGGCTTATTTTTCTTTACTCCTTTAACCTATGACTGTCTGTACTCTTTTATAACTATCTGCACTCTTTTTTCTTTATCCCAAGCCTATGTACATTTATCCAACACAGTGACCCATTTAGAGATCTCTTTTATCTAAATCTGTCTTTTTTGCCTACCTATAATCCTTTTCTGACCAGGACTGCTTCTTAAAATGCTAAGCAGCATGGCTAGGACTTAGGCTGCTTTGCCTTTTGGTTCCACCCAATCCAACTTGGTTGAGATCCGTTCAGTGTCAGCTCTGCAAGTCATGCTCACAGTCCCATTTTCAGGAGGGTTTATGTTGCCATTAAGCAAGTTGTAGCACTCTGCTCACAAACCCCATCCAAATGCTCTGTAGCCAGACCTTCTGAAAGAGTCAGCTCTGTTTGCACGGATAAACCAGGAAGCCGGCTCCTAAATAAGCCATGTAGCCTTCCTTGTGACTGCTGAGTCAGGAAGACCTCTCTTAAAGGAGCCATGGTGCCAGCAAACAGCTCATTCAGAAAAAAAAAAAAACAACTTGTGGCTACCAAGTAGCCATGTTTGGCTCCCATTTTTGTGGTTCTAAAAGCCCTCTTCTTTTTTTAAGCTTTTTAGGCCTTATGTAGATGTACATTGCCAACATTAAGTGTCATTTTGCAGGCATAGATTTCTTGCTCATTTCCCAGTTTCCCAGACCCAAAATAATCACACAGAAACTGTATTAATTACACCTGC